GAGCTGTTCATCATTAAACAAGTAGGTTTAGACAGTAACACTGAGTCAGGTAGAAATGGACTCCCAAATTTTACTGAGATCTTCAGTAGAGACCTTTGAAGTGTGTGAAGATGACAGTGAGTAGATAACACCTGGAAGAGTTTGTTGAAATGAGGAGCAACTGTAATTAAAGAGTAAAATGTTTGTGTCATATTAGTTCATCATGAGTTAAAAGTTAATTCTGAGGTAGATAGTGAATTAGCTAATAAACCTTTTATATAATGTAATTTATTTTGCAAAAATCATCCTTTTTTATTGGAATTTTTACGTTTGTTTTAAAACTAAGAGCATTTAGATAGTTTAAATCTAAAACATAGCGAAGTAGTTATATCCTACAAGAAATTCTTTAATGGTGGTTTAGACATTTGTCTTTTATATTCCTCAGTACTTTTTCACAGTTAAAGATTTCATCTTAGCTCTAATCTGTTCTTGGTGGTTCAATTTCAGAAAGAAGAAGCCCAGTAGTGATTTTGGCTAGGAACTGAGGTGAGCCTCCATTTCCCTGTATTCAAATGTTAACCGTACATAGAGAAGCTAATTTTAAACCTGTGGTTTCCTCACCATCCCATCCCTGCCTCTATATTTATTAAATATAAAAATATATCCTGATCTTGGAGCATCCTTAGGGAAGTCAAGAGTCCTCTCTTCATTTAATACCCATTTACTGGTTTTCTGAGAGATTATGTGCAAGGCATTTAAACTTACAGCATAAATCAATTAAAGAAGGAAGGTTAAAATTTAATTTGGAAATGATTCTGATCAAAAAACCTCTAGTATGGATTTTTATATTTTTAATAAAGAGAAACCAGTAATTTGCAGGTGATGTAACGCTGGATGATAAACACTTTCAGTTCTGTCTTCATGGCAATGGTAGAAAGATAGTGCTGTAAGAAGGTGTTTGAGACAGGGGAACAGAGTGAGCAAAGGCATGAAAGACTGGCATATTTAGGCGTTCTTGGAGTAATGTGCTATGACTAGGATTTGTGGTGGACAGTGTTTGAAAGGTAGGTTGGATCTGGTTATTAAAGGCCTTAATGCTCTAAGCTAAAAAAAGTTATGAGGAACCATCTAAGGTTGTGGTTTAGTTAGTTTGCATGTTTTTTTGCTGTTGTTCTTTTGTTTTTTAAAGTAGGGGACTTGTGTGATAAGATTATCATCTTGGGAATTTCACTCTAGTGGCCATAAAGGGGGATAGCTTAAGGGGGGTGATGTTCTGTCTCTGTTTCTGAAGTACTGTAATTGAACGGATGGGGCACTTCTGATTGGATATGGTTGGTACATCTGTGGAATGGGATGACAGCAGAATTCTTGCCAGAGGGCAGGGTTTGCAGAACTCGAGCTTATTAGTAATAACTTCAAGGGGTCAACATACTTTTTCTCAAAGAGCAGATAGTAAATATTTCCGGTTTATTTTAGAGCATTATTGTCCATGTTGCAACTATTTAATCTGCTATTATAGCTTTAAAGCAGACAGAAGTAATATGTAATGAATGTGCATGGCTGTATTCCATTAAAACTTTATATATAAAAATAGGTGGCCAGTGCAGGCCATAGTTCGTCAACCCTGCTGTAAACAATAGGGAGAGGAGAGAGAACCAGAGGCAGGACTCTGAGACCATCTTTTCGTGTAGCAGCAAGGGGAAGGGGACTTCTCAGAGCATTAGGGAAACAGGAAAATAGGGAGGAAATGATGACAGCTGTGGGCTGGTGCTGGGGAGTGGGGTGAAGGAGGGGTAGAGGCCATAGAAATCTGGACAGTGACTGAACATTTCATATCAAAGTATTACTAATTTTTTTAGGTTGTTATAATGGTATTATAGTTTTCTTTAAAAGGATCTTTATCTTTTAGAGATCCATACTGAAATATTTGTGAATGAAATGATAGGATATCTGGAGTTTGCTTCAAAGTAATCTATTGGAGTTGCAAGGGGAGAGGAATAGATGAAACAAAATAGGCCTGGAGTCAATAAATGTTTGACACTGGGTATTGGATACATGGGTTCCTTGTACTAGTCTCCGTGCTCTTGAATATGTCTTAAAACTTCCACAATAGAAAGTCATTTTAATAAAAAACTTTTGGATTTGAGATTAGGGGATTAACTTCAGCATGCGTTCCAAAGAGTAATTGGAAAGGAAAATGGATTGCAAAGGGTGGATGGTGGATGAGAGAAGGAGAAACAGTTTGCTTCCCAAAGAGTCAGGTAGAAAGAGGAGGAGAAAGATAGAGAGGAGAGAGACGTAGGAGAAACCAGTGGCAAGGGAGAGACTCGGGGGATGGAAATTTTGGAGAAAGTTCTCAGAGGAGTCAGAATGGATGGGTTTAAGAGAAGGTGCAATTTCAGAAGCCTTTTAGGGTCTGTTGCTCATACCTCTGCATTCCCCTAGCCCAGAATTCTTCACAGATCATCAGTGTCAAATTATGTCCCTCCTTCTTCAGAATGCTGCCAGAAATTATCTCCTAAACTAACCCCATATGGCTCTGCTCAACCAAATCACTTCAACAATCCTGCTTGCGCATTGACAGAAGAAATCTCTTAGGAAAATCGTTTTCATATTCTGCAGATGTTTTAATTTTTTCAATGATTCCTCTGCTTCTGTTTGTTCTTTCATTTGCAAAATCTTTCTTTTTGTCCTTATTTAAAATTAAAGTTCCTTGTGGGTATGGGCGTTAAAAAAAAAAAAAAGAAAAAGCAGGTGTATGGTCATTCCTTACCTCACAGACATTTTGTTTTGTCCCCATATAAAATTATACCCAGAATCATGCAATGAAAGGCAATTTCCCACAAAGTAAAGAAATACATGATGGATTTGTTTTAAAACCTGTGTGTCTGCTGTTAGACATTTGAACATTTGTCACAATGTAGCAAGGGAATGAAATTCCCATGGTAGTAATCTCGAGAGATTTATAGATTGCAGTGGGAAACACTAAATTATGCATTCCCTTCTGCAAGATTCTTATATTCAAACCTTAAAGGCCCCCACCCCCCTTCCTTTTCTTTATACCATCTTTTTAAACTAAAAGAAATGCTCATTATAAACATTTGGAAACTAGGATGGAAGAAAGGAAACTAATCCTCTTTCTTCCCATGATGCCAGTAACAAATTTTACTGACTTGTCTAGGCACTAGGGCTAAATAATGCATAATCCCTGCCCATCATGCACTTAAAGTCTCCTAAATTAAATGGTTCCTCTGAATTTTTTGATGAATTTTTGGTTTAACAAGTTTTTTTTCTGCTGTCATTAATTAAAAACTACAGCCGAAAGGGGGTGAGGGATATAAAGCATGCATATTATGTGCTGTATATCATTTTTAGTAAAATGAAGATTTTATTTTATGTGAACTGTGAAAACTTTGTATTTGAAATGTGCCTGGGTATTCTATGTATAGATTAGTTCATTATTTGCTTTTGTTCTATTTTTGTTCTCAAGTGGGTGACAGCTGTGGGAACTAATAGTATAGATACCTGTACCACCCATGAGTCAACAGGTGCACTCTGTTCTCCCTAATTTTAATTAAGCCAATAATTTGTCATGTCATTTGTGTTTTATCCTTTTGTTTAAAGGTTACTTTTTGAAGAGGTTCTCCTTGTACACAGTATAACCACATGGTGTATTCTAAAGCTAGTTTGAAAAACAGTTTCTGTAATTAACGGACAGATAATTAGCACTTTCAGGATACCACTATTCATCTTATAATCATTTACTCTTAAAATGAGCTAAATTGTCTTCTGTAACTTACCTGGCATGTGTTTTATTGGTGCATGTGCTCACACTCTCTCTTTTTAAGTAAGAGATGAATCATTTTGAGAACACAAAAGGTACAAGTAAACTTTTTACCAAGAACGGCCAGTGTTAAAATGTGGTATTTTAAAAACGTGTTCATTTTATATTAGTGTTGCCAGTCCTTCTCTCCTTTTTTAAGTGTTATTTGCCAAATGATATGATAGATTCAAATGATTCTTTCGGTGTTTCTTTTTTATTTTTAAATTTCCAAGCTCTTTATTTTCCAAGTATCTTCTAAAATTTATCGTTAAGTGGAAATACTTATTAAATTTTTGAAGCATGATTTCAGTAATATTTGATTATCATAGATTCTCTTCTTAGATGTTAATTTATTTACAAAATTATATAATGACTTTTTATTTAATATGTTAAATTTCTACTTCAGCTCTTTGATCAAAAATAAGAATTAATTTGATTTTACAAGGCAAAAAAATTATGTACACACCATAAATGTTGCAATCAGGGCATCAATCAGGGCTGCAGCCATCTCAGAGTTCATCTCTAGCAGAATCTGTCTCCGGGCTCACTAACGTGGCCATAGGTAGGCTGTAGGTCCTTGGTTGTTGGCCGAAGACATCCTTGCCACATGCCTATCCATAGGACAGTTACATTATGGCAGCTGGCTTCCTTCAGAGTCTAGCAAGCAAGAGAGTACCAAGTTGGAAACTAGTCTCTCTGTAGCCAGATCTTGGAAATGACATATCATCACTTTTGCCATATTGTTTCTTTTAGAAGTGAGTCACTAGGTCCACCCAGATTCAAGGGGAGGAAATTAAGCAAGAGCATGAATACCAGGAAGTAAGGATCTCTGGAGTCCATCTTAGTGGCTGCCTGCCATATCTGAGTACTTTGAAACTTCTAGAACTTTACCTCTTTTACTGCATCATCTCCACAGGATTATAATGATAAAACTCCCTGTTCAGATAAAACTCCCTCCGCCTCACTTGCTGTTGCCTCACAATCTTGAATTAATCGTTTTATATAGTCAGACTGCAGGAAGGGGTGCAAACTAGAACAGAGATAAAGGGTTTTCATTTGCAGTTTTGCTCTTCCAGCCTTTTCTAGTTATTTAGATAAGAAGCTTTGTTAAAACTCTAAGGTGCTATCAGGAAAGCATACAGTTGGGAATATTGTGTGCTCTGTTCATTATGTAAATTTTAATGTTTGTTTTGTTCAGTATTGGTAAAGGTTTTCAAGGCGTCATGAAAAGATGGGGATTTAAAGGCCAGCCTGCTAGTCATGGTCAAACAAAAACCCACAGGAGACCTGGAGCTATTTCAACTGGTGTGAGTATAACTAATGGTGCTTTTTTTAATGCTGAATATTCAACTTATTCACATATAGTGCTCAGCCTGTCTTTGAGATCAAGTCATTTTAATCTGACTCTAAGTGGGTCCCAGTAGTTGTCACACTTTCATGGGTACTGGCCTCACTCATTTTCCAGAGCCAAACTTGAATCATTTAATTATATCCCACATACTTATGAGAAGTATTTTCGACACTGTTCTGCCTTCTTTCCCATTCCCTTCTCTGTCTCCCATCCTATTCTCTGAAGTCGACTGCAGAAATAAGGAGTTAGAATGCTCTTCTATCTAGCTTTACTGGTTCCTTCACAGATTTCTTTTTGCATTAAAGGAAATAGTTGAGAAAGATTGTCCAGGTCAATGCCATGGTGCAGGGGAAAAGTGATAGAAAAGAAATGGAGAAATAAATAATAAGAGCATAAGAAATTGAGAAAGGACCCTTTGTATTGCTAATTGAGTCCTACTCTCCCAGAGATATAACATAAAGAGCATAGAAGAGTTTTATACTTTGGAGCATGCATTCTATTTCTCTCTTAATAAGAGAAATACAGATTATAGCTACTCTGAGATACTAATTTGTTATGTAGCAGATTGTGTTATTAAGCTGTTTAATTTTTGTCACTCTGTTGGCAAGAATATAGGGAAACAGTCACTCTCATGCGTTATTGATGAGAATATAAAATAGTGCAGCCTTTATGAAGGGGGAATGTGACAATATCTAACAGAACTACACATGCATTTACTTTTGACATAACAATTATGTTTCTGAGAATTTACCCTGAAGATATTCTCCCAAAAATGCATTTGTACCAAATTAAGAAATGCATTGCAACGTCATTCATAATTACAAGTGTAAATGTCCATACCTGGGAGTTGATTAATCAACTGCAATATATCTACTCAATAAAATACTATGCAGCTGAAAAAACAATAAGAATATCATTATGAAACAATTAAGTGATTTGCAGGGTTTTAGGAAATGTATATATTTTCTGCTTATTCTTAAAAGAAGGACCAGAAAGATAAATCAGAAACTAATGAGATTGGTTACCTATAAGGGATGGATGGAAACAGTGTGGAAGGGCTTAGGAGTGGCAGGAGTGACACTTCCCCCGGTATACCCTTTTGTTATACTTTTTACTTTTTGAACCATGTTAATGTTGTACATATTCAAAATAAAAACAGTGTCAAGGGGGAAAATCTAAAATGGAATATAATTAAGTAATAAACTTAACTGTTTCAAATGAATAACATGACCACACTGAAGAGGGAGGAAAGAAACTAACTCAAGTGACTTGAACACAATAGTTTGGCTGCGTACCCTGAGTCTAAATTAAAGATGTACTTTGCACAAATGTTGAATTCTAGTTTGGTTTGGTTTGCAGTGTTGTCAGTTAGCAATTCTGAAATAATTTTATGTGAATTGTCAGATTGAGTGGATAAGTAAATATATTGGTAATGGAAGCCAGGTTTCTCTGTATTGGAGAAGGGCATTAAGGTATGAAAAAGGGGAAATTAGAATGAACTGTCTATTATTGAATTTGAATTGTAGGTATCAGTATGCATGTGTGTGTATGTACAAGAAAGAGAAGTGATATAGATATGTATGTTATGTGTATGTTTATTTGTATTTATGTCTTAGCTCTTCTGCTTGAAGGACCTAAAATTAAAGATACTCCATAGCAATGAGCACACCTAGAGCTCAGATCTTGGTTTGTAAACATCATTCCTCACTGAAAGGAGCTAGAGTTCCTTGGATATTTGGCTTATTTGATGCATGGGGCTGGAAGAATACAAGATGAATCCAAAACATCATGTGCAAGAAAGCAAGGTGCTTAAACAATGATGGGCATGTGAAAAGAACACAGAAGCCAACTTAAACAGGCTCCCATTTGCGAAAACTGGGAGCTTTTAAGTTTGAGCTTAAAAAATGATAGTAACAGAATTTATGGAGTAAAATTAGAATCCATGAGTTTATACAGATATAAATAAATAAAATTGATGAATAGGTAAATAAGTAAATGAGAGAAAAGAAAATGCTCTTGCTTACAGTATAATCCCAACTAATAAATGTAGAAGGAATGGTAGAATTAGAATATCACTGTGTGGTCATAGGAATCATTAGATCAGGCAGGAATTATCAGATGCTAAAACAAGTGATAAAAGCTTGATGAGGACTACATATTTACATAGTCTCAAACAAATTGTCTATTAATTACAAAGGGAAAAATAATAACCTTAGAGGGGATTAACCTAGTAAACACATCCTCACCACATTAATCAAAGTTATACATCACCAAAATAGTTGGGCAAGCACACATAATGTGCCTCCTGATATGATTCCTAGAAAAGAAAACACCATACTTCACTGGGATTCCTGCCAAAAATGCATCACCTGAATCTAAGCATAGGGAAACATCAGACAAGCCCAAAATGAGCCATATTCTTCAAAATAATTGGCTCGTACCCTTCAAAAATGTCCAAGGTCATGAAAGAAGGAAAGGCTGAGGAGCTATTTCAGATTTAAGGAGACTAAAGAGACATGACAGCTAAATGCAATTTGTAATTCTGAAGTGGACCTCAGACTTGAGAAAAAAATAGCTTGTAAAGAACATTATTGGGGCAGTCGACAAAGTTAGAATATGGACTGTGGATTAGGTAATAGTTCATTATATCTTCTGAGTTTTATATTTGTACTGCGGTTATATAAGAGAATATCCTTGTTCTTGGGAAATATACACTGAAATACTGACAAGTAAAGGAGCATTATATCTGCCACCTAATTATAAATGATACAGCAGAAGATGGTACATATATAAGGAAAGTGAATGGTAAAGCAAATGAGCAGAATGTAAACAACTATTGAATTTGGGTAAAGAGTCTGAGAGTTCTTTATGTTATTTTTGTAACTTTTATGAATGTGAAAGTATATAGTTCTAACTTATGTAAAAATAAGCTATGAAGATTAGATATAGATATAAATTTAATAGCTATAAAACTCTTTAAAAAAACATAGTAGTAAATCTTCATGACCTTAGATACAACACCATAAATACAAACAATAAAACACTATATAGATAAATTAGACTTCATTAAAAATTTTAAATTTTGTGGTGCAAATGATACCATCAAGAAAATGAAAAGACAGCTCACAGAATGGAGGAAAATATTTGTAAATCATATTTCTGATAAGACTTGTATTCAGAATATATAAAGAACTCTTACAACCAATAGTACAAATATAACCCAATTAAAAAATGGGCAAAGGACTTGAATAGAAATTTTTCCAAAGAAGATATTCAAATGGCAAATAAGCACATAAAAAGATGCTTAATATCTTTAACCATTGCCATTAGGAAATACAAATCAAAACCACAGTGAGATAGCACTTCGAAGACACACCCTGACATGGATGTAATTAAAAAGGTGGATGATAACAAATGTTAGCAAGGATGTATGTGAAGAAACTGCAACCCTCACACATTGCTGACAGGAAGGTAGGATGGTGCAGCTGCTTTAAAAAAGTTTGGCTGTTGCTAAAATGTAAAGTGTAAAGTTAGATGCTTAATATCTTTAACCATTGCCATTAGGAAATACAAATCAAAACCACAGTGAGATAGCACTTCGAAGACACACCCTGACATGGATGTAATTAAAAAGGTGGATGATAACAAATGTTAGCAAGGATGTATGTGAAGAAACTGCAACCCTCACACATTGCTGACAGGAAGGTAAGATGGTGCAGCTGCTTTAAAAAAGTTTGGCTGTTGCTAAAATGTAAAGTGTAAAGTTATCACATGACCCAGTAATTCCACTCCTAGATCATACCCAAGAGAGATGAAAACATGCACATAAAAGCTTATATGTGAATATTCAGAGCATCAATATTCATGTTAGCCAAAAAGTAGAAATAACCCAAATGTTCATCAGTTGATGAAAGATAATTAAAATGTGGTATATTTATGCAATGGAATATTATTTAGCAGTGAAATGGAATGAGATATCAATAAGTGCTGCAACATGAGTGCACCTTGAAAACATGCTAAGTGAAAGAAACCAGTCATAGTATACCACATATTTTATGACTCCATTTATATGAAATGTCCAACCTAGGCAAATCTGTAGAAATGAAAGTTGATTAATGATTGCACAGGGCTGTGGTGGTTGGGGGGAGTGGCCAGTAATGGGTATGGAATTTCTGTCTTGAGTTGATGAAAGTGTTATAAAGTTGATTATGTAATGCACAACCCTCTCAATATACTAAAAACATTAATTGTACACTTTAAAAGAGTGAAATATGTGGTATATGAATTATATCTCAATAAAGCTCTTTTTAAAAAAATTAAGCTTGTAGAAGAATCTATTCTCATGACTTGGGTTAGTTATTAATCATGAAATATACTGTTCTGTGTTTGTGTAATACTTTCATTAAAGATTGACTAGTAAATGCCTTTATAATCCAAAGAATTAGGGTTGTATTAGAGAGTGTAAATTTGACAAGGGAGGCAGAGTTAGTCTTTTCTTTAATTCTCTTAATCACAGTGCTTATAACAATATATTTGTAGAATGAATAAGAGTGATACATAGTCTATAATACTCAGAATTGTCTTTTGAGGTGTGGTGGTTACATAGTAACCAGTTCTGATACTATGATGAGCCACTTCCACTGGGAGTTTCACTTGTTAATGTGGGAGTAGCTGATAGAAAAGTGTTTATATTCTAAGAATTCATGCATCATGAGAAACTTTCCCATTTTAAGTGTAGTTCAAATTTGCTTTTTTAAATGTAGGATTATTGTCCATTATCAAAGTGAAAGTCAGAAATTGTGTGAAGCTATTTGATTTATGTGAATCAGAGACAACCAGGACTAAACGAACTCAAATATTCTAATAACTAACTCTGTCTTTTAATCGTTTTGGCCAAGGAAAGTAACATCAAAAGCAAGGAGGAATAGGACCATTACAGCAGCAGTGGTGTGGATGGAGTCCATTATGTCAGTTAATACAGAAGATTAGTTGAAAACAGCCCAGGCAGTCCATTTTTTGCTTTGAATGTGGTGTGACTTGTATGTGTCCTTTATTTTTCTTTTTTTTTTACTTCTTAACCAGTATTGTCAGTTCCTGCTCTTTTGCTACTGAGTTTTTCTCCTAAATCTGTATTTATTTTGTCAGTCTAATTTAGAAAGGAAATCTTCTAGGGGTAAATGTGTCTAAATCCATATTTAGTCCTTTTTGGGGCCTGGCAGAATAGGGGGAAAAAATAAAACATTTTAGTAATTCCTGCTCTTAGTTTGCATTGTGGTTTGATCAATATTGTTTGAAATTGAGAGTATCTAAAAGTGTTGTCTTTGGTTCTCTCATTTAGGATATTGCCAGAGTCTGGCCTGGAACTAAAATGCCTGGACAAATGGGAAACATAAATAGGACAGAATATGGACTGAAAGTAAGTTTCTGAAGTGGCTCTTTTTAGCAACTGTTAAATTGCCTAATAAATGCAAAGGCACCAGAACATATATTTAATTTGTCTGTGTATAATGGTTCTAATAAACTTTACAGTTAGGGTGGAGGAAACGTGAATTGTGAGTGTGTGTGTTGTAGTCATAGTTATAGTGATAGTAGTAGTAGTATATATTTCACTTAATATCTAAGCTGTAGGATGTGCAGTCATTAAAAAGAAAAAATTTGTGTTCTACTATTTGAACTGGAAGATTTCCACAAGATATTGTTGCATGAAAAAGAATCAGAACATTAGGTATAATACTCTCTTTTTATGAAACAATGAACAAAAGCTCCCTGTATGTGTATATTGCTATGCTGTTATATAATCACAGAGAAAAGTGGAAGGTTATCTTGTATTATATGTCAAATATATGGGTGGATGGAAGTGGATGTGGTAAGGAGGAGAAAGGAAGACAATCAAAATGGGGATTATAGCACTAAAAAAAGGATTGTAATAAACATCTATTCTTACCAAAATATATATGTATTTAAAAGAGAGGAAGTTAAGTTCAATCTCAAGTTGAGGAATGTATGTAATGTCTAAGTGAAAGTGAGTTGTACTAAAATGAGTGCTATATAATTATATTTTTATTAAACCAAACAACTATTTTATATATATATGCATGTATGTTTCAAAGTGTAGAGAGTACAAAGAAGAAAAAAGCCACCTATAAGAACAACACCCAAAGATAATCATTGGTAAAATTTGATGCATGTTCTACTGTCTCTGTTCTAAATATATTTTATTTATAGATTTTGACCAGCAGAAGTTTTTCAAATTTGATATAATTAAATCTAAGATTTTTTTCTCCTATTACGTTTTCACTTTCCAGAGACCATCTTTCTGTCTTCATTTTCTCTGTGTGTATGTGTGTGAGTGAGTGTGAGAGAGATTTCAATTTCTGTAATATAACACTTCGCCATTATTAGAATGAGCTGTGGGTCAGAGATGATTTCTCCTAAGAGTATTTTCTTTTGTCAGTGCCATTTCTTGACCAGTCATTCTCTCCCATTTATGTAAGTTTTTTCACCACATGAAGATCTGTTTAGGGCGATCTGCTCAGCCCACATACTTTAGAAATTAGATCCATGAAGCTGTGGCTTCCCTAGTTTCTAGTTGCAGCAAACTAGTATTAACTAGCAATAAAATAAAGTTGAATTTGCATTTGTTATTAATACTGTTATCAGAGTCCATTGAGATATCCAAGTAGTCTTAATCATCCAGTCACATTTTTATTTAAAATGAGTTTTCAACCACTTCCATAAGACATATCTCTTATGGTTGTATATTACAGTTCATCCTAACTCTTAAAATTTGATTTCATTTTGTGCTTTAGGTGTGGAGAATAAACACAAAGCACAATATCATCTATGTAAATGGGTCTGTACCTGGACATAAAAATTGCTTAGTAAAGGTATGTATAACTGTCTTTATTTTCTATTGTTCATTTATGTGGATATGTGCCATAAATTCTCCTTTAACACATATACAGACAGTTCCTGACTTATGATGGCTTGTCTTATGATTTTTCAACTTTATCACGGTGCAAAGACAATACGCATTCAGCAGAATATCAATAAATTACATGAGATATTCAACACTTCATTATAAAAAAGGTTTTGTGTTACATGATTTTGCCCACCTGTAGGCTAATGTATGTTTTCTGAATATGTTTAAGGTAGGCTAGGCCAAGCTATGATATTCATCAGGTTAGGCATATTAAATGTGTTTTTGACTTAAGATATTTTCAACTTATGGTTCATCTGGATGTAACCCCATCGTAAGTCTGTGGTTTGAAAATAAGTAACTGTTTTTCTTATGTTCTCTGCTGAATTTTTCAGCTTTTTAGTAGTACCTGAGTAAAAAAATGCACAAAATAACCTATAATCTATGTCCGTAAAACCAAGAACCTGTAAAAAAAGGGTAGGACCAATAAGCAGAAGCATTTTCAGGAATATAAGAAGGATATTAGGATAAGTATTGCTGAAATATCAATATATCTCTGTCCTTCCAAAAAAGAATGCTTTATTTTTTTAAGAGTTACTTTGACAAAGGAACCAGGAATGCGTGAGGCAGAAATTAGAGTCAATATTGATTTGATCATCACATACTGTACACAAATACTGATAGTCAACTCTGTACACCGTAAATATTTATAATCAAAAATAAATAAATTTTTTAGAGAAAAAAAAGGTGGGTTAAAGGTAGATATTTTAGGAAGAAATTTTTGTTACTATTGCTAGCATTACTATAATTATACCTTTAAGTGTTTTTCTTAAAAATATGTATTTTCATTTTAGAAAAATTCAAAAGCAAAGTAAAAGGGAAAAAAGTACACATAGATTTGAAGAGAAACTCTTAAGCACTAAGAGATTTAGTTGTACCACATAAAATACAAAATAAGTATTCTACCTAGGATTTAAGCCAACATAATACAAATTCTCTCACTTCTGAGTTTTGAATCTTCCATTCTGAAAATAAATTTGTGGTAGAAGTGATATTAGCTATTTCCAGAAATATATTCTTTATTGATTTAACTGGGTCGTTATAATTTTTCTTAAAGAAAAAATGCATTTGGTGGATTTTTGCAAGTTCTTTTTTTGTTGTTTTTAAGTTTGCAAGTTTTTAAGTAGATTTTCAGTCCCCAAGTTCCCCAGTAATACCTATGGTAGACAGTTAGTTGAAGCCAGCAGGTTGTCGTTGTACTTCTCATAACATTTTGGCTTCATGATTCAATGTATCCCTAGGTCCACACTCCAGATCTATTACAGGTTATGAATATCATAACATAATAAAAGAGAAAAAGGGAGAATTATATTCCGTAATAAAATTATACTGGATAGAAGATGGTTTTTAAATGTCCAATCCTCCTTTTCTGCCTGCATTACTGCATATAGTGTGCTGGGCTGGCTTTCTAGTTGAACCTTAGCTGTGCTGTGACTTCTCAAGTACCACCTCAGCAGCATCTTCAGCACCAGCAGGAATGAGTAGGTCTACTATCTTGTAAAACCATAGTACATTCAGTGATATTCTCATCTGGATGTTATAGTTTATAACCAGCAACATTTATTACTCAGATTTACCACCAATTTCAATAAAAGATTGCTTGCAAAAACTCAGTCCACTCTCTTAACTGATGATGGTTTGCTATATTCAGAAGGTGCACCAAAGGCAGTTTGGAAAGAGGAGTCTAAATAGACTTTGAGAAACTGTAGCATCAGAGAAATGTCTCATCTACTTTGAACTGTTAACACACTTGTGAATACATTTTCAACAAACATTTGGTAAAAAAGAACTCATCCTAAAAAAAAAACTTTGAAATATGGTGCCTACATAACTGTCTTTTGTAACCTTAAACAAATGTCTGTCCCAAACATTAGGGTGTGGATTTGGGGGGTGTTTCATGAGTGTATGCTTTAAATGTCAAAAGCTTGCTGTGTCTTCTCCTGCCATTGTTTCCATTATTCCAGTGGTTCCATAGCAGGTAAATGAGCTCCCCCTTGCCCATGGAGCAAGTCATTCCTAGAAGGCAGGCAACTTCATTAATATCCACTCACCTGTCAAGAGCTTTTGCCCTCTCACAGTACAGGACTACCAGTAACTTTTCCTTTTTTTAAATTCTAAAGTTAGTAAGGATAGCCTTAGGGATGCCCAACCTGTTTAGTTAAGTGTAAGCTTTTTTTGTTGCTGTTTGGATTCACTAAGTGTGTTTGGAGAGCTTAAAGAACTGTTGTTTATAGCATAATGTAGTGTATGTTATTAAATACTATTCATTTGTGTTTGTCCCTATGTCCTAAGATGTAATTTAAATTTTCTTTTCAGATTTGCTGGGTTTTTTGTCTGTCTTTCCCCCACCTTAAAGGGTTTGGACTGGTTTGCCAATAGACAAAAAGAATGAGGTAGATACCTGAGGGAGTGTTGGTAAAGGCAGGGAAATAATAAAGGCAGAAGTAAGATTAATTACACAAAAACACATATCATACAGTCTTACACATTTGTTAAAGATGGGCTGCAGACTTTTGGCCCTCAACTTTAGAGCCACCAAGAAAAAAAAGAGAGATGAGATGTCATCGTTTATGTAATTGATGAATTATATTACTGTACCATTTACCCTTAGAATATATAAACAGTACTTCTGCTATCTGGAATATTTCTCAGATATAATCTATAAATGTGTAAAAGAAACAGAATTAACTGGGTCATTTATGACTAAATATTTATCAGATTAGCACAGAAAGTTTTGTTTATTTGCATGAGTTTACTTTCAGTCCTAAATAGTGAGGAAGTTTAAATTTGTAAGAATATGATTTTTTTTTTCCTAGTTAAGGTTCAACCCAAGATTAGTGAATTGGGGGAAAAAACTGAAGTTTATTTTCTTCTGGGCAACTTACTGATAATTGCTTGAAACAATTTTAGTGAGGGATTAAAATAGATCTGTTTTTCTGTACTTAGCTGTTTCTAGCAGCTGTGTACTTATTTCAACCAAATTATTCATTTCTTATTGCCAAAATGATTATGCCTTATTTTACTCTGTGTATATAATTATATGTAATTTTTTCTCTCTGAATGAAGGCTGTGGAATGAATCAGAAGAGAAACTTTTAAGAACCCAGTAATGTTTTCCAAAAATAAAACTCAGCATTTTAGTTTAAATCAATATCTATACTAAATTTCCTTGGTTTATGAATTCACAGATATAATTAGAATTTTGTAGAACATAAAGAGTTAACAGCTCTTACAAAGACCTATAGGTTTATTGTTTGTGTTGTGCCAAATATTATTCTTGATAAGAATGCTGTTTACTAAATATAAGCTAATTTTCTTAATAAAATGTGATATTTTTGGTTATGTGCTCTTAGTGTTAAGACTGACAAAAATGCCTAGTAACTTTTTTTTTACTTCAGTTCAAAAAGTTTATGTATAAAAATTAGAAAATAATAACAATAAACAATGAGTAGATAATAAAATAGATAATTATTAGGTGTATAGTTTATGTCATATATTTGAAAAATAAATCTGGATATAATTGATACTTGAGTAGTAATTTTAGAATATCATTTATGATTTATTATGCAGTTCTAGAGATTTCTATGTTATAATAAGATAAAAAGTAATAATTGGTGATTTTATTCTTATGAGATAGCTGATGAACTTGAGGGAGATTGTTTCTGTCATTGGATTAGTCAAATTTATTGGAATAAAAAGAATGCATTGACAGGTCATTTTACAATATACATGTAACTGTTGTGTTATTCACATTAGAAAATGTAGGAACAGATATTTTTTGATTACTCATAATAGGTGAAACAGGTTACCTTTAAATTACTTAATAAGATTTTTGCCTTTTCTCCCTAGGTCAGAGATTCTAAGTTGCCTGCCTATAAGGATTTCTGTAAAAACCTACCATTTCCTACATATTTTCCTGACGGAGATGAAGAGGAATTACCAGAAGATTTATATGATGAAAACGTTTGCCAGCCCAGTGCACCTTCTATTATGTTTGCCTGACATCATTGGACATGGAAGAGCTTTACATATTTTGTGAGCTTTGATGAGTCAGAACAATAATATAGCCAGGAATTATATCCTCCTTTCTTGGTCACAATACCACATTTCTCATCTTTGTCAAGGGCATAAATATATCACTCATCCCCTAATTAAATTTTTTTAGAAAAATTACTACATTAAACAAATCAGTTAAGTAGACTGGATTTGCTAGAATTGGCAGTTTGCATATAAGCAAAATATTTGTAATTTGTGGACTTCATTCTTTTTTATTACACATTCCCAAAGTTATCTTAATGTTTTTATAAATTTAACTTTTATTAAAGATTTGTCAGTCTTTGTGAAGGGGTGATTGTGGAACAGTAGAAAACCATATGGGTACTATGGTGCAACCTTTTTGGATTAAAAAAAAAAAAAACATTTCCTGAAATCTGTTTTCATTATTCTTCTACATTTTAGAACCTTAAAGGGAGAAAGTGAGATTTTTATTTAAATTATAGAAACATATATGCTATAGTTAAAGGCCTGATAAAGGAAGGGCGATAAAATCATAAATTATGGGTTCTGTTTACACTTTCATTGGGAGGTATAATTATTTTTTAGTTTGATCACTCAATTATAAGATTGGTATAATCATTTTTCCTTGATGCCTTCCAAAGAGGATTTAAAATGACCTGAGATTATGCATTCAACAAACTTTTATTAGTCGCATATTACTCAAAATGTTAATGGACTCTGAGTTTCTCTTCATTATATGAAATTAAGATGTATAAGGGTACTTCAAAAAACTCATGGAAAGAGTTATATAATTTTTCAATTCTATTTTCCATCAACTTTTTGAAGTACTCTCGTATTTGCTAATGGCTACTTATAACAAAAATAGTTAAGCTTAACAATGTAAGTATATAAGCAAGCCTCATTGAACTGATGGATTTCCTCTAGATTTGTTATTTCCTTCAGATTTGTGATTCGTAAACTTAAGAGGCTTATTAACTATAGAGTTCATGTGATTTTCTTATAATTAATGGGTTTGTATTAAAAGGTCCAATAGTACTTTCCCGGCCATATTGCATTTTTCTTCATTTTAAATCCAAATGTAGCCACATCTTTTTTAAAGTTTTCATTTATACTTCATCTTATTCCTTTAAGTATTTATGGTAATTGACAGGAAATCCACACAATAAAATAGTAAAGAAAAAACATCTAGGATAATATAAATTAGAATAGGTGGAGTTTGAGAGGGAGCGGTGCCAATATAATATAGATGAGCAGGCTATGATATTCAGAGTTGTACTCAAATGGTTTGGTTCTGAGTTTCCTGGGTGCCAAAGTAAAACATATAACATTGATCTGTTACATATTTCTCTTTAATCAGTTAGATATTTCTAATTAATTATGAGTTCTTCAGGGTTATTTATATGCCCTAGTAGCATATGTTTGAAAGTAGTACTAAGACTTAATCTGTAATTGAATATTGTCTTGATTTTTATAAGCTTTTGGACAGTGAAAATAGTAGTCTGTATTTGTCTTTAACTAGAATAGGTCCCATTTAAAGTCACCACACCATGTTTGGTTAAAAACAAAAATAACTATCAAACCAGAAATCCCTTAACTTGTTAAAAGTTATCTCAAGCAATCATCACACTAAAGGGTAAAGTGCTAGAAGAATTCTTCTCAGAGATCAAGCAAGGGCATCCTCAACTACTACTACTCAACAGCATTCTTAGAGGTTCTAGCCAGGGCAGTAAGACAAGTAAAAGTAATCAGATAAATTGGAATATGAGAACAGATCTCATTATTTGTAAGAACTACCTAGAAGATCAAAGACAGTCAACTGACAGGCTATCAGAACCAATAAAGAGAGTTAAGAAGGAACTGAATATAATGTTAATATATAAAAATATAATAGCAATATTTTATATTTATTATAAAAAATGGAAATCATTTACAATAGCAGTTTTAAAAAGTTACCTAGGAAAAGCCTAACAAGAAATGCACTAGGGTTTTATGTTCTTTATTGAAGGACATAAAAGAAAACTTGAATAATGGAGAATATCATGGTTATGAATTGGAAGGCTTAATATTGTAAATAATTCAATTCTGTTTTAAAAATCTCAACAAGACTTACCACAGGACTATTCAAATTGATTCTAAAATTCATGTGAAAGTGTAAATTTAAGAATAGCCAACACTTAAAATGGTACCCATTAGTTACGTATGCCCCATACTATGCTTAGGGACTTACTTCACTTTGAAATTCAGAATACTATATGCCTTAATTAAATTCTTTTAGCTGCATTTGACAAAAAGATTTTAATGAACTTTTACATGCATCAAGTTTGCTGATAAACCAGTGTAAAGAAGCTGTTAGTTCACAAGACAAATGAACCATTTTTGCTGAGAGAACAAAATCTTTTTTTTGCATTGAGTATTTGCAGAGGTAGAGAGAAAGGCATCATAGCATATGAAGGTAGCCAAATGACAGAAGAGGAGCAAAGGAGTAGTGTGGGATCCCTTTGCCCAGATACATGATATTTTAAACAAGGTAGGGAGCTCTCTCCACTGGAGAACCTGTCCCAAACCCCCCACCATCTGTCACTGGAGTCAATAAGTGGTCAGTGGATCTGTGTTTGAGTTTTAAGGAGAAATTTTCTGATCACTTTTGGGATCACAAGTGTGAACCTTGTCTTTCAGAGACAGGGAGCAAAGTATTCACTCCCACCTCCCAAACCCTACCCACTCCCCACTGCCAGCACCTTCCTTGTATAGCTGTCTATCTACTGGAGAGGATCTTGACCCCATTCTTGCAAAATTTGGGTGGCCCAGAAAAAGTGGCCAGAGTTGTGTCCTACTAAGCCAGGTGGAAAAGGAGGATGCCTTCTCTCCATTTATGGAATACGTAAGCCAGAGTCTACCTGGTCCAACACTAACTAAGCAAAACACATGATTTGCCAAGAACCTTGAGTCATTATTTGTGGCTACCACACAAGTTCCTTGCCTATGCATCTGTCCTCCAATGTTCAACTCAAAAGTGGAACTCTGGGGAGTAGATTGCCCCAACAATTGTGTCCTCACCTCTCTGTAGCCCAGGCAATTCCAGAGGTGTACTGAGCAGTGTTGACCACTGGACAGATGTGGAGGAAATTCAGTTCTCAGCAGTGAAGCCCTCTCAGGTCCTGATTTAAGCTTGAACTTGACTTACTCTTTTAGATTTTAACTTGAAGTAGGGGACCTTTTGGTAACTACACTTCATTCAAATTAGACATTTATTTCATCTTGGAACTAACTATTAGTAATGAAATAGGGAAATACTAAAACTTACATAGTTCTGTAGGCCTTTGAAAGGCCAACTGATCAAGGGATACCTACTCTAAGAGTTACACTAAGTACTGGTCATCTTCCTTTCTTTCCAGAACCCTTACCCTATCTGCTAGAGTAGCTGAAGCTGAACTGCTAATGTTGATTAGTTCTGTCTCCACAGTGGGCCATGGCATGGGTAAAATGGATGATGCCATCTGTTACAAACACTCAACTATCAATGAAAGCATTTCTTACACACAGCAAGTGTAAGGATATAATTAACATGGGTATTAAGTATTTCAGAGTCAATAATACAGCTCTTTGCACCTTTTAATGCTGAGGTACAGACATGCTTTTTAACTTTTCACAAGGGGTGGAATATAAGGATGATTTTACAGCTTATTTTCAAAGGTAAATTCGTAAATGGAACCTGACCATGTCTCAGAATATATAACGAAATGTATACAGAGATATAGTCTGTTCTTCTTAGTGTAAAACCATTAACACAATCTCACATATACACACACGTGTGCACAAGCTAAATCAGTGCTTCAGGCTCTTGATACTGCAAGGTGAAGTCCACCAGTCTGCAGGAGTACTTGCTTTACAAAATTCAGCAGCTTATTTTGTTCAATTGTTTTAGCAATCAGAAAAAGCCGTCTTTGAGAAAGTGTGTCAAAGTGAGAGTTGTTTCCAGCAAAACTGGACCTTCATCCTAAGTCACTGCTCACAGAGATACTGTCGTCTGTGTCACAGTGAAGACCAACTACAGAAGGAGAGAGTAGTATTCAAATCTGATCTTTGGACCACTGAGATGAATACCCTACTGTGAATACCTTTAAATGTTTTCATTACTTCTCATTCTTGGAGTAGAAATCCAGTGTGCAAAATTGTCTCCTCTTTGTGGTATTGAGTCTCGCAAAATTGTCTCTTAGCCTGCAGTGTGGTGTCCTACCAGCTACTTTGTTTGCTCTTCCATTGCTGTCCTTTCTGGTAGGAAGTGCATTACTCTAAAAATGACCATTTTGCCTGTTTTGCCTGAAGATCACCACTTTGGAAGTTCTCCCTACTTTTGCAGGAAACGTGGCAGGAAGAATGAACTTGTACTGCTTATTGTGCTTTTATAAATAGTTTGATAGTGGAGGGCTTCAGCGATGAGGGAGGGCATGTTACTGATACCCATTTTACTGTAACTACGTAACCAAGACAGGCTGACAGAAGTAAGCTACCATGCTGTGAGGCCACCTTGGGCAAACATCTGCAGGAGCTTTATAATATATGTGTCACTTCATGGCTACCTGTTTTCTATATAGGAAGAAGTTCTTCACATAAGAGTTTACTTGACTAATATTGGATAAAGTTTTTACTGCCTTCAGGAATTTTCCATAAAGCTGACTTTAACAACAGACATTTCTCCTTCAGTTTCCAGATTTACTGCTGTTATCTGCTATAAGGCTTCGTCTACCAGCTTAGCACCATAAATGACAGTGGTGTCTCCAGACAAAATGACGACTGCCATTCAGATTCTGCCTCCCGCAATTGCCTAGGATTCTCTGAAATGTGTCATTGTTCCCTCCAAAAAACAGCCAGAGTCCTGAGTGTGCCGGGTTGCCAGACTCAATTTCATCATTTGCTGTTTTGCTTTTTAAATGTTGTTTGCAAAGAACTTACAGCAGTCCGTGTCACACATTATTTTTCATTCTTTTTAGATTAATGAGGTGGCCTGTT